CGATGGGAGGTGCAGGTGCAACCGAAGGTGGAGTAGCGGTGCAGCATGTGATGACCTTCAAGCCCCTGGTCCAAACGCATGTGTAAACACTTTGCTCGGCATGCAAAGTTCCAACATTTTCCAACACAGCACTTGGTTTGTCAACCATCCTTTCCTAGGTTGACCTTTCCGGCAGTTACTGGCAATTCATCCCCCACAACAGTCTTGCCACAGTTTATTGACGTTCTCGGCCGGAAGCTGGACAAAATCAGACCAGAGCTGGACTGCCCCGATATTTTGATGCGTCCTAGCATGTAACAAGACTAAGACATACACTAGCCAGTGCACTTGCATGTTTTCACGAACAGCCGTGCAGGATCGAATTGTGGCTCTCAAGACTCCTCAGTCAAAGGGGTCTCCTGGATGCATGTTCACTTAAGTTCCGCCTACTTGCAATCCAAAGTGGATGTACCTATCACAAGCCAAACCCTAAAAGCTGGACCACTGAGGCTGGGTGACCAAATGACCAAATTGCTTGTGGAGATGGACGCTGTCTACACCCAGCTGACTGATAAGCTGTCAGAGGTCACCGTGAACCCTGAGTCAATGGACAAGTTCCTTTAATTATATTGGTGGATGGAATGAACTTGAAGGTATTAACATCATGCATTTTATAACTTGGGTCAAGCCAAGGCCGAAACGCGATGCTCTCCAACATCTCTACGTGAATTGCACCAAGCTAGATGTTGCGATGAACGGCATGCTTACCAGAGCAAAGTTCCTTGTTTGCATGCTTACACAACTGTGCCCCGGCCCCACCCCCTCTCCGCAGTTTTTCTCGGCCTCAGGGGGATGAAGACGACGCCTGCGTCCTCAAGTGGTACCGGTGATGCAAAGGCCAAAGCCAAGGCTAAGGCCAAAACGGCCCCAAAAAAGTCACCAAAGGGTGGCAGGGGAAAGGCCAAGAAAGCAGCAAAGCCTGATTCCCGTGAATAGATTGATCTTTTTGAGGGGACCATTGCGCCCATATGCGGCAGCTTTAGCGATGCCAAGGCAATATGCATGGTTATTTATATTTATTGTTTAAATCTAAGTTCGATCTTTGTTCGCGTGTTTGTAGCCCGGGGATGCATCGCCCTTTTGCGTCGCAGTGTGGAGGCGCCTCTTTGCGTACCATATATATGCATCCAGCGAATGGGCCAAAACAAACCGGAAAAAAGTTCGGTTGGCGTGTTGTGTTCACTGACCCTGGCCAACAATAGTTGGCCCCATCATCCACCACACGCAAGCCCAACGTGCCAGGTCATCGAGAAGAATTTGCCACTACTACGACTTCCACAGGCGCATCATCTAGCTGCTAGCTTCAAGTGTCATCGTAGCTACCAGAGTTTCTACTTGGCTAGTGGCCACTGTGCGCAGGTGATCAAAACGTGCCAATTGAGACATGTGGAAGCAAATGAACTCTTAATATTTCCTGTGAGGCGGCGATGGTGCTTCTTCAGCATCGGAATCGTTGGAGGAGGAGATGATTGGCAACTTTGCCAATGGGGTACCCTATCTACTATAGTGTGTATCGATTTGTTCTATATTTGTCGTTTAATTTTGAACATCGAGCATTCTGTAATCCTAGGCCCCTGCAAACGATGTTTTGCGACAAGCCTGGAAAACTGGCAAGCTTTTAACCAAGCATGGAGCCTGTCCTCAACATCTAGCTGGGATGGTGGGAATTATTTGTGTTATGCAGAATGTGTGAACATTGCACTACCTACCTATGTATCTCAGGAGTGCTCGATGGCAAGATCATCAAAATGGGATCCTATGGAAGGTCCAAATTCTATGCCAGGAATGCTAGCCGGAACCTCTATCGACTGATTACTCTGAGAAAGAAAACCCTCCCCGTCGACATCAGCCGTGAGACTGTCCCCATCAAAGTCAGCCGCCGCCGCAAGGTGGAGCAGAAGCCTTGGCCGGTGTTGCACTTGTCATCGTGGATAAAGACATGCTTTGAAGAGTATGGGGGGTCGCTTCTACTCGGCGGCCATGTGCTGGGGGAAGACATGACAGTGGTAGAATCAATGCTTTCACGATTCTGGTCTAGGTATGCCAAGATAGATGGTGTGCATGTACCATACCCCAGCCGAACAGTTCCATGGATGCTGCATGGCGACGAGGGCCGTGGCCAGTGCAAGCGACCACTTCTGGTAGTGTCTTTCCAACCGGTGATCGGATGGAGTGGTGAGGAATACCTGAACTCCACCAAGTGCTTTGGCAAGTTGTTCCTAGAAACTTTGACTCTTCTGTTTGAGTTGTTTCTTTTTTCTGACTGGTGGAGAAAAATATTTTTTGGGGGGGTGCACTTGGTTTGTGAGGCACACGTTTACCACACGCCTCCTCTACACTGTTCTGCCCTCACAGAATTATGCCGATGAAGGTTCCTCCCTACAGTGTTTGCTGAAGCACCTGGTTGAAGACGTTAACAAGCTTTTTTTGGAAGGCATCGAGGCCCGGTTCTGAAACAAACAACGCTGCACAATGTCAACTGATTAGTGAATTAAAGGGCTTCAACATACTGAATGCCCTGGTACCCTTCAGGTCAAATGGAGGAACTTCACCAGCCACTTTCACTTTCGATACTTGGGGGGAAAAGGAGACTGGCCTTGGCTGCGATCTGCTTACCGCCTGGAGACTGGGTTTTGCATCATCGAGAATATGCCACCGGTGTGACAGCCAGGAGCCAGAATCACCAATATTTTTTATGCATGCAGTATGTTCAAACAGCTTTTAAACAGACCTGTTACTGTTTGAAGGGGGTCCATGTTTCTCGACCGCAGTTTGCCTTCCAACAGGATTGGTGGGATGTGGGTCAGAATGGCGCTGTTAGAACTTTGCCAGAGCATGCTGAAGTGGAGAACCCCTTCAAAAGCGGAGTTGTGAGCCCTTTGCGGCAAATCCCGCATGGGGATTGTCCAAAGCGGATTTTGATAGATGTGGCACATACCCACGCCATTTGTGGGTTTGGGAAAGATGACTGTGCTTCAGCACTAGTCTTCCTATCATGCCGTTGCAGGCTTTGGGGAGGAAACACCATACCAAAGCGATTGGAACTTGCATATGATAGCTTCCAGGATTACTGCGTCAAGCGTGGCAAAACAACTTCCATCATGGAATTCACTTACCAGGACCTCAAAATTAAATCGACACTAGCTTCAACAATGTGGTAAAGTTTTGTTGTGCACAAGGCCTGGGCCTCCTATGATTTGCTCTTTATAGCACCGTGGGGCCCACACAATCCCGTACCTTTGTGCTGCCTAGGCTGAAGGAATTTCCCAAAGGGCTTGGCAAAGGCTTCGACACAGCCTTGCTTGGAAGTTGGTTGGGTGAAGTACTGGATGGTGTAACCCCCGAAATGGTTCCAGCTTCTTGGATGTGCATTCGGTGTTGTTTCTTTACCACACCTAACTGCAGGGTTCCTCGTAGTTGCAGGGAACGGAGAAACACTCAAACACGCGCGCGTGTGAAGTTGTTGGTATATATAATTGACTAAGGAGTCTTGCAGAGATATACTGGAGGTGCTACGATGGGGCATGCGATCAACAAACGCCTTCTTCCATAGCATATACTGTGGCAAGCTGTGGCTGAACCGGAGCCAAGCACAACATGCAGTCACGCACGGGTGGCAAATGATGGTTTCTTGTTTCAACGTCGTAGTTTAAGGCACACGTGCGCACATTGTAAAACCCGTTGCTCCTTGCTACTGCAAGGAAGCATATGCTGCATGCGCGCGTCTTAGCCATGATCGCAAATGGAGCCTGTGGTACATGCGTCCGAAAGTTCACATGTTTGCTCATTTAATGCATCACAGCTGCATTCAGTGCGCAACTTTGGTGCTTGTGGCAACTTAAGCATGCACATAGTGCAGCACAGCTAAGTCGAGATATGGAGTACCAGCTCTCTCGATGTGACGTGGAGCACGTTTTGAATCCGGCGAGCCCAAGCCCTAGCGAGTCACGCAGTTGTGCATATATGCGCGCGCACATACAAGTGCAGGGGTTCATTCCCGTGCGAGGCCTAGCAACCTGGAGTGACGAAGACTACATAGGGCGGATCTCCCGCACAGGGAGACGTGTGCACGCCCTCCAGCTGTGCACTAGCACCGTCAAGCGAAGCTTGATTGCTTACAAACGCGAGTGGGATAAAGCTTTTAAGGCGATGCAACACACTGCAACCGAGTAGCCGAAGGCTCTGCAGTGAATCTTGATGACCTCGCCAAAGACGATGTCAAAGAGTAGTGTGTGTGAACGTGCTGTATGTTGTGTTGAGGGAGGCTTGTGGTGGTTTTTGAGGGTACTAAACGCACACTTTTTTTGTATCTTGTTAAACGAGCGGTATTTCACCAAACGAGCACTTTTAAAAACGAGCGTAAAATAGTGTGACTTTTGAAGCTCTAGGTAACTCGACCTCTTGCGCAGCGTTGCAGAAGATTTAGCAGTCGCATTTAAAATTACAGCGCTTTTCCCAGTACTTACGGCGTTTCCCCCTACTTACGGCGTTGTTCCCCGCACCCTACTCAAGGTGGCAGCAAGACTTGTCACAACCGATCCTTTCAGCCGAGCTACGGCTGAAAAAAATGAGTTACGGCAAAAAATGTTATACTTCAAACAATTATTGCCTCGGGAGGGTCTAGGTATGCTATTATTGTTTCAAGAGGGCGCTTCAAACAACAAAGAGCTGAAGAAGACTGTCATTGCGCAAGGCCTTACTCCCAACACAGTCTCAATCAAAATCCACTGTTTGACGCGCAAGCAGTGACTGGTGGAAGGTGCTACAGTAAATGCTAAAGAAGGAATGTTCCTTGGGTCCCATCTTCCTCCTGAGAAGATGGATGGGGTGGTTTTGGTGATTCTGAGGATATGGTTGGACCATGTTGGAACGCTAGGGTTTGGATGCCTAGAGGGTTGAGATGTTGAGCTAAAGCTTGACCGCCGTCGCTGACGGATGGCGTTTGACGGTCACGGTCTAAGGGTCCTCCCGAACTTCATTCTGGTGCCTGGACGAGCTGCGAGCGGGTGTCGGCTGCGAGTTCGGGCGTCGGCTTGGGGGGAGTCCATTTGGTGTCGAAAATCCAGTCAATTCAATTCGTATAAAAATTGTGGTTGCAGCAGGTTGGTCCACGAAGTTTCCTGCAGCAATTATTTGCTTCTGATGTGGTGATCCGAATCGTGGGTGGCTCACCTGGGGAGATGCCAACGCACGGATGACACGTGATCAACCAACCTTGAGGTGGCGGCTGACCATTTTGAGATGTCAGCTGGGGGCTTAGTTGCAATGGTTTTCGATCACGTTTGCAGAACTTTGCGTGCAAGAGAGGGTGCAGTGAATGCCACCATGGAGCCTAGGTCATTCATTCAGGTCGGAACATTCGCGATTTGCTAGTCATTGTATGTTTGTTGGTTGATCCTCTCAAGATTAAAAGCCATTTCTGTCTCATTAGCCACCCTTCGAAGCTCGGGTCATTGGTTGGAACTGACGACAAATCGCCCAGAACTCTGCGCAACACTCATCAGAACTCAGCTGGCTCAATTGGTCGCCCCGTCTGTGGCCATGGCGTTTCCCTAGTGACGAATCATGCCGAAGCAGCCGAATCTATGTGACCTGAGTGGCTCGGGGAAGCTCTTGGAGCTGGGCATGGACCCCTTGGTTTCCTGCGCCGGTGGCACGACCGTGGTGAAATCCATCGGGCTACAGACCGAGATGCTGGGAGACGAGCTCCTTTCAGAGGACATGGACTCCCAGGTGGTCTCCAAACCCGCAGCTGCCTCGCAGATCATGAAGGTGGCAATAGGCCACAGGGTCTCGGAAGGAGGGCCTGGAGAGTTTTGGATAGATCATTTCAACACGGGGCGTTCACAGAGGCCACTACTCATAGAATTCAAAACATAAATATACTGTATGTTTGTTGCCCGCGAAACCCATTCCCTCCATCCAGAATTGCGTACTTTAGCTATCGCAGTTCTTTAAGTGTTCACTTTCAACCTGCTCTGTCGCCGACATTTGTTTGCTGAAGGATATGGACCATCTTCCCCCAGATCGTTTCATTTGTTTTCTGAGCCATCGACTCACTGGTTCGACCCATGGTCCAAGCCTGTGGATTCACGAACGCGGAGAATCCGCGGATTGGAACCGTGCGGATTGAAACCGTGCGGAGCGTGTCCAGACATACTCACACACACACACACACACTTTGGCAATAAGTTGTGGTAACCTGACGTATCATTACAAACATATCATATAACAACAAACCTGAGAGAGAAGAAACATATATGGGTTCATCAACAATCACAACGTGCGACTATCAAGCAGGTCGAGTCAAAGGTCACCTGTCCGCCACACGAAATCGGCAGAAGTGTCGACTCCTACGGGTGGCCCTAACACCAGCAGCCCCATCCAGACCACCATCAGCAAAAGGAATCACTCGTGTGGGGAGAAGCAATTCGCTGTCAGGACCTACTGTCCCGCTTTACGCTGTTTAGATGTGTTCTTTTAATTGATAGGTTCAATTCGCCCATTGCAAGTGGGTTCTTTCAGCTTTTGGCCGCCAAAAAAACAACATGTCTCAGAGTTTCAAGATGAATTTTCCCCAAAACATATTTGTTTAAAGGCCCTTCTAATGTCAGTCCTTTGAGAAAAGGTCTAGTCCCTTCAGGTCTCTTGGGCTTGGACCTCCATGAGAAGCCCAGCTCATGGGCTCAGACCTGGTTGGAGGCGTGTAGCGTCACCCGGCCTCACAAACGGTCCCCGAGTCGGCTGGTTTGTCTCATCTCACGCAACTGGTGTTGGACTAGCTGGACACATGTCCCCATGTCATCCCATGTCCCTTTTAAACCAACGAGACAAAGAAACTGTCCTTATTTTGGCTTCCTTTTACACCTCTGCTGTCACAGTAAATTGCCACGAAGGAGTTTGAGTAACGGGTCCATGTCATTGGCTTTCAAGGACTCATGAAACATCTCAATTCCTCCGTTTGGAACTGGATTCGTTAGCCTTTCTGAGGTGGGTGAGGTGTCCTTCAGCATGGAGCCCAAACTGGCCAAGGTGGGAGGTTGGGGTCAGCTGGGTGGAGAAAGCAGAGCAAGGGTGAGGTTGGTTGGGCATATGAATGAACATGCATCACTGGAGAACATGTGCCCTTGATTCCTTATTTGACTCGGTAGGTCTCTGAACATTTACCCAAAGTGGCGTCGTAAAGGCTTTGCGATGTTGCTACAGTTAAAGGCACTTATATATATATAGTATAGATAAATCATGCAGAGGCTCAGCGGCTCTATCAGCTGGATAAGATTGAGTGCATGAGCCTGCCAGTTGGCCAGCTCCTCCAGCCAACCACGGACTTTCACCAGCTTGCTCAGGAGGTGGATGAAGGATTCTGGTCAGATCGAGACTTCAAGAAAGGTCAAGCAGATTGGCAGCGGCTGCTGGGTTGGCAGGGTTTGTTCTGAAGTTGGTTTCCGCTGTTCCTTGTTCTATGGCGGTCATTTTTTTGGAAAGAACGTTTGGGCACTTGGGTGGTACCATTTTATAAAGGTTGGATTGTCCAGAGTCTTGTGGAAGCATACAGCCTCAAAACAGCCTTTCATCATGCCAGGGTGTGCTTTGGAGACCAAGGAAAGTCCTATCTCACTTGCGGCAGCTTTATCCTAAAGAGCACCGTGGGCGTTCCAAGGAAAAAGTTGAAAGACGAGGCGGGGTATTCAGGGTACACCCACTTGCTTCATCCAGCAATCCTGTTCAATAACACGTTGGACATGGGGGTGGCTTCTAACATGCGTGGATATATACAAATCCACTTGCTACATGTGTCTGTGTCACCCATTTCTCTGTGGTTTCTTTGTCTAATTTGCTTCTCAGCACCATTCACCAGCGGTCGTCACCCGATCAATGACCAACTTCACGGTCTTCCAACGTACGACGTCGCAGCACCGGTCGAAGGTCCGTCCTGTACGATGTGGTGTGGCGATGTGGTCGAGTGCCTTTCTTTTTGTCCACTTCTTCACAATCTATATACTACAGAAATATGGAGGGTGTGTCTATGCATAGGGATTGGAACAGGTCAGTATATACTTCAGGGTCAACCAGAGATCGAGCGCTCCCACTCATGGGTGTCACGGAGGTCACGTGGCTCACGGTTTTCCGTGGATGTCCAGAGAAAAGGCGCCCACGACTCGAAAGGCGACCAAGACCTGTAGCCACTGTAGCCCCATCAGGGTCTTCAAGAAAACCTTTTGACCTAAAGGCACTGTCTCATAGGACTTAGGATCCTTGAGCAAACCATGCAGTTATATAAGAGTTAATTAGGAGTACTGTATATATAGTATATATAGATGAACCTTGACGTAGAAAGACTGTTTGGTTCTGTTTGGTGCATCCCGCATCCTTTGTTGTAGGACATTGGAATGCTTTTGGCAACATTTGGCGACGTAATTCGTGAACACTCAGGGTGATCTTGATGCAGATCATGCGCACTTGATTCCGTTGGAAACGACCGAAACTAGGTCCTCATGCTGAGCAGCTGGAGACAGTAGACTTCATCCTGCAGCGAATCACCTCTACAGTGAATCTTCTTCAACGGCCCGAGCGGCACGCTGAGCCGCCCTTGATCTTGCACCAGCCGCTCGAAGTCCTGCAGGGCCTGAGCGTTTATTGCGTGTTGGGGCGCGTGCGAAGCGGGGCATGGGGGGTAGGTAGTTATTTTGTAGGGGAAGTGTATTCGTAGGTAGCTCCTGTAGTAGCCAGGATGCAGTAGAACTTTTTGCCCATGAAGTTGGTTCTTGGTCTTGACGGGAGTTACATTTACACTCCAGTGTTTAGCAGCGAAGCTCGAAGAGACAGGGGGCAGCTTCACCCCCATAACAACAACTGTGGAAGTTTGTCCGATCTGGCAAAACCAGTGCGTTTTGGACAATTCAAACTTGAAAGAGAAACAACCAAGCTTTCCATGCGCCCGGGGAAGTCTTTTGCCATCAGTTTTGCCAACTGTCACACCGCAAGTCTCACGAGCTGACGAGCAATTGCTGCCCACTTCTTCCACCACATGTATCCAAATCTATCCAAAATCCCGTTTTGCGGTGCATTCAGTGGGTTGTGTTTGTATGTTCTTCCTTTTGGGGTGTGGGCCGTGGGGTTATGAATTTCAATTGTTGCCAGACCTTGACTCAATCTGTGAGGTATACAGATGGCATGGTCCGAGATGTTTGCGCTGACTTGCAGCTGGGTTCAAGGAGGTTGTGGTGGGTTGAAGACAATTGTAGATTGCACCCGCACGCACCCCTGTTTCATATCCATACCTTTTGTATAGCATATCGAAGCAATTGTTGATGTCTAGTTTGGCCAAGTGGCGTAGCGATGGGCAACTCCAAGCGCGTTTTGATACAATCAGAATTTTGTGCTTATTTTTAGTGTTGTTTTTTGATTGCCCTAGTTTCAGCTACCAAAAGAACCTGGCTAAAAGGTATCCTTCCGTTGATGACTCAAAAAACATCAATAATAAATCACAGGAAACATAAAAAGTACATGGTTTGGAGATTTAGGAGTGTGCCTTGTTCAAGCATGGAATTTGTAGAGGAAATCAGACCGCTCCAGTTGATTTTCCAGGTTTCATCCTTCCCAGAATCAGCCACCCTGACTTTCCTTTGCCATTGCACTGGCCATGATCTGGCAGAACTCTTGACCCGAAACGCTACACCAGCAGCATTTCTACAGAATTAAATGACACATGATGTAATGGATGTGTCACATATCATGATTATATACCAGGCCTGGGGCCCCACGTTGATCATACTCGCTTGAAGTGTTTTGGCAGCTTTGATCATACAATCGCTCACACGATTGAGTTTTGAAATACCTCTAGACGAGATGAATTAAACAAGTACTTGGTGTGCGCATACAGTAGCCAAGATCGGCCGCAGGGTCGGGGCATTGCTCATCCCAGGAAGCAATGGCTGGAGCAACTGGCTAACATTTTGTCGGTGTATCACGTTCATATCTTGGACCTCGAGGGCGACAAGCGACAATTGACCAGCGCCTCAACGACAAGGGACCCACAAAGACACACACACACCACCGGGCCCTCATTCTCACCGAGACACCCTACTGAGACACCAATTCTTGGCGGCTTCAGGGCTGATGCACAATCAACGTCACAGGGGCCATTTGACTGCCGTTTGAGGATACACACATATATATATATATATTCTTATACAAAATATGTGGGTGTCCTTCCGACGCGCGTGGTCCAGAAAGGTAGAGAGCTTTCAAAAAGATTTTTTTTGCAACCATTAGACCATTAGACTGCGATGATGTGATAAGACAAGCAATGGCCTCCAACCTAATAGCGATGGCCTCCAACCTAAAAGGAGGCCATCGCCATCAGGTTGGAGGCCATGGCTATTTGGTTGGAGGCCATTGCTAGTAGAATCCTTTTGCTACTAGGTAAATTTGTTCATTTCAGCATCACCTACGGCATTTGAATGCTATTCGCTTGGAGGCCATCGCTATTAGGTTGGAGGCCATTGCTATAGGTTGGAGGCCATTGCTAGTAGAATCCTTTTTGCTACCAGCTTAATTTGTTCATTTCAGCATGACTTACTACAGACATTTGAATGTTCCCGATGGGTCTCGAAGACTTGGTCTGAACACCCCCACCGCTCAGAGCGGGGGAAAAGGCAGGTTGTTCCGAGCAGCTCGCAATCGGAGTCGCGATCGATCGACATTGTCGCGTGGGCATGTCATGGTTGGAGTTGTGGTCGTTTTGCATGAAATCGACCCCGTGCGACAGAGGCAATGGAAAATGGACGGGGAAAAGCTTTTTGTATTCCCTTTTTAGACTGAGTCTATCTCATTGCTTCCTTGGCAACCGCGGGTGTACTTGTTGAATTGTTTGTGCTTTATTTCAAGACGTGTCTTTGCTGCTTTGGGATCACCCGGAGGCGTGTTGTCGCCTTCACGAAGTCCTCCGCCCGGGTTGTTTCGATCGAATTCTCCGAGGCAAAGTAGGAGGATTGGAGGAGAAGTTGAAGGAGTCTGAGGTGGAGAAAGAGGATGCCGTAAGGCGTTTTCAGGAGTCCATGTTCTGGAGATTGGAACCCAAAAACTTCAAGGAAAGCAATCCGCATATATAATATGTCCAAAGGGTTCCCTGTGATTCATACAATAAATAATATATACATAATAATCTATTACACGCATTGCCGCATTGACACATATTGACACATACAGTACATTTACTGTAGATCTAGAGAGAGAGAGAGAAGTAGGCAGCTTGTTGGCATTTTTATGTAGGTTCCCCAAGGGTTGATTGACGACTCAAGGTTGCCATTCATGTAATTGGCTCATCCGCTGCTGTAGGTAAAATCAGGTAATATAGAGGCATGGATACTTCCTTGGTATTGAAGAGGAGTATGATCGTTAGTTTCCCTACACACTGTGAAAGCAGGAATTCTCTTTTGAAATCCTCCACGTTCCTCAACGGCACAGTGGCGGTTACTGTGTCTTTGCCAATTCCAGGATATGGACGCCCGGTGGAATGAAGAGAAGATGAAGAAACGTGCGGCCGCCTTGTTCGGGGTGAAGAGCAGCGAGGAGGATCCCAAGATCTACAGCCAGCTAGAGGTGGATGAGATGTACGAGCAGTGGAAGAAGGAGCAAGTCGATCCCCTTTTGGAGGCGCGCCCACTGGAGGTAGATCTTGTCCTTCCCAGATGGTGTCTATGAGTCATAGGCATAGTCCATCATAGGCCTTCCAGGGCCTTCCGAGAGGAGTTTGCCGACATTTGCTGTGTTCTTCTGTGCCCTAAGCGAATGAGCCTCTTGTCGTTTCACGCTAGTATGTCTAATACATGTCTCACTTACCTACCGTTTGGCTCAAGGAAAACCAGGTGCGACTAGTTGGTACTTTTCGGTCGTTCTCCTGTAACTACAGGTTATCAGCCGTATCGCCAAAAGTGCGGTACGTGCTTGGTCCTAGCCCTGGTCTCACCCCACCCTAGATAGTGCACTGTCTAGAGGCCATGGCCGATGATGAAAGTTCCCGTGGTGACCGCTCACGTTCAGGCTACATTCCCACTTCGCCTGCCATGTCGAGCTCACCTGCTTTGGAACTCCCTGTTGTTCCGCTGGAGTTGCGTGCGCCAAATGTGCCACCGATGCTCAGTGCACAGGGGGGCCTGCTGCCTAGTGTTCAAACTCCGTCGCCGTTTCAACCTGAGTTTTCTCCTGTGATGAATGTCCAGAACGTTGATGCGAGACAGATTCATCAACAAGCTGTCTTCGTCAATGAGGATAGGTCAGCTCAGGTAGCTCAGATTGCTGAACTGCGGCATCAGGCCATTTTGGCCGAGCATGGGCAACAAGTAGCAGATGATGCTAGGCAATTTAGAGACTTAGTGGAGAACCAAGCTAGAGTGGCTGTCCAGGAGTCTAGGGAACAAAGTGAAGCTTTAGCCAATCAACGTTTGAGTGACATGAACCAAGCCCATCAAAACCAACAACTTCACGAACAGAGGGCTTATTTAGATCGTATTTCGCTCGAACGACACTCCGTCGTTGAGAACGAACGCGCCTCTGCTAAGCAAAGAGAGGATGCACTTCGGTCAGAATTAGCTGAACAGAGTCGAATCATCAAGGAGTTGCGAGAGAGATTTGACAACGCCTCGGGGAACCGAGTGCCTGCGCCATCAGTGCAGCCACCTGGATCCCGAGGATCCCCAGCTTTGCCTCCAGCGAGCCTTCGCACTCAGTTGGAGATACCCGCGAACGAAGGCGATGACGATCCTCATCCATCCAATGCTGATGACGAAGGTGATGATAAGTCCAAGAAAGATAAGAAGAAGAAAGGAAAGGAGAAGAAGAAAGAGAAGAGCCCAAAGAGAGGCCGATCAAGAGAGCGCAGGAAAAGGCGTTCTTCTCCGTCTCCTTCATCTCCTAGTTCATAAAGCGGAGGTGACAGCTCCAACGGCTCAAGCTCTGAATCTTCGCGTCTTGCACGCATCATCCGCAAGGAGCTGAAGAAGCAGCAGAGGAAGTCAAAAGACAGGGACCGTGAGAGCAAAGCCAAAGAGGCTGATAAAGTTCTCATTCCCAAGTTTCCCACGCCTGAGAAGTACAGAGATTGGAAGATCAAGGTGAGGGACAACATTGCTGCGGCTTCAGCCAAGCCAGATGAAGCTCGGATATGGGTTGGGAAAGTGTACAAGGACTCCCAAACCATTGACGCCTTAGACGATTCAGAGGGTTTTGCAACCCTTGACGCAAAGCTTCTAGCAAGCTTGACCAATTGCGCTGAGGGGGACCTTGGTCGTCAAATTGCTACCTTCAAGGAGCTGCGTGCTCGTGAAGACAAGAATGTGAAGGGAAGACATTTGCTCCTTCGCTTTCATGAGTACTTTGCGACAAGCATCAAGCATGGTGCAATTTATGGTCTTGAAGACCTTATGTCCGTCAAGATGGTCAATGACGACCTCAAGGGCTTTATCAACAAGTGGGACAGTGTCCTGGCCGGAATGAAGAAAGAACCGGAAGACAGTGTCCTTGAAGCTTACTTCCATCTGGCAGTCAAGCGCTTTAAACCCCTTGAGCATGACCTGGCCTTGTACGATCGAGCAGCCGATGGTAGTAAAGAAAGATCGTATGACTTCTTGATCACAGCTGCAAGGGCCTATCTTGAACGGAGAAGGCTCGAAAAGATGCGTGACGCCACCAAGCGTTCGCTCGGGGCCAAAGACACAGCCATGCCTGCTCCGGATGACTAAGAAGGGCGTATGCTTTGACTTCCAAAAGACCGGAAAATGCAAGCGCGGATCATCATGTCCTTACAAGCACGAAAAAGGCCGCGAGAAAAGCAAAGGAAAGGGAAAGGGCAAGGATCGCAGTCAGTCTCGATCAAGGTCACTGACACCAGGTTCTCGCAAAGAGACATGCAAATTCTGGAAAGCAGGACATTGTCATCGAGGAAAAGACTGTGCGTTCCAACACCCTGAAAAGACTGTCCCCGCGAAGAAAGAGGACAGAAAGAAGAAGAAGAAGAAAGAAAAGAAGCCTCGCAAGCGAAGCAGCTCGCGAGGATCGTCAGGCTCCGACAACTCAACTGGCTCTGAGAGTCAGCGGAGAAAAGGTGGGAAATCTTCTTCTTCCAATGCACCGGCAGCGGTTTGCCTCCTACGAGCAGTGGTCATGGCCGCAGTGGTCTCTCAGGGATCCTCCGTCCTCATCACTCGCCCGCTGGGAAGCGTGGCCATGCCAGTCCTTTCCGCATCAAATACTATTTGCACCGATTTTGACAACACAGAAAACATTGACAGTTTTGTTACGCAACGAGTTCGTTTTGACGATCAACCCAACATTTTCAGTCATGCTGTTGAATCTTCTTCCAGTTGGAGACCTGTTCAACCCCGAAGTAAGAAGAAACGAAGAACCTTTACACCAGGTCGACCGGAGCATGTTGAAGCAGTTCGTATCGCTACTGAAGATGCATCCATTGCAGCCTCACACCTTCAGAATGCTGTCAGGAACGAGCTTTTGTCCATGCCGGCGGAATGTTCGTACCTGTGCAACTCGGACATAGGTTGCGTCAAGTGTTTTGAGAAGAGGGCGTGTCCAACAGTGCCTGCCACTGAGATTGCATGGATCGCTGACACTGGGAGCGCACACGATCTTGTGTCTAGGCACATGCTTCATTCGGATGAGGTGTCTCAATCGTCCAAACCGGTCAGTCTTCTTACTGCCAACGGAGTCTTTCAAGCCACTGATCAAGCGAGAATCAATGTCCCCGTGTTGGGAGCTGACATCAATCCGTACGTCCCAGACGATAGCCCAGCCGTCGTGTCGGTAGGACAGCGCTGCATTGATGCTGGATGGAGCTTTCATTGGCCCGCTTACAGTAGGCCATACTTCAAGAAGCCAGATGGCACGAAAGTCAAACTTGAAGTAGAAGACTATGTTCCATACCTGCCATCATCAACTGGTGTTGCGATGTCTGCCATAGGTCAACCTTATGGTTCGAGCGAACGATCGGGGGGACCAAGACCAATGATCCCTCTGCCCGCATCGCCGGCTGAAGAGGCAATTGAAGTCTATGACGATGACGACAATCCCATCGGCGAAGATCCTGTTGAAGACGATCCTGAGCCAGTGGATGAAAGGTTGGTGGAAAAGCCGTTGGACCCGAAGAGGGATAGGGGAGAGAAAGCTCTTAAGGAAGAAGCTCAGTCTGTTCAGCATCTGTTGACTCACACCCCAAAGAACCCTTTTTGTCAAGCTTGCTCAAGGGCAAAGATGACCAAACGTCCATCGTATAGCAAGGGTGGTTCAACCCAGGTGGAGGCGGACCACTTCGGACAACATTTGACTGCCGACCATCTCGTTATTCGTGACGATGAGGAAATGGACATCGATGGGGCTCGCGTAGCTTTGGTCGTGAAAGATGTAGCAACAGACTTCAGGTATGTCTACCCGGCCGCGCGTCGTTCGACGCGTGAATGCATCGCAGCTTTCAAGCACTTTGTCCGTTCAACTGATGAGGTAGGAGTGTTTTATTCCGACAACTCACCTGAGCTCATCGCAACTGCCGAAAGACTAGGATGGAGGCATCAAACCAGCTTTGCATATGTCTCTAAGACGAACGCTATGGCTGAAAGATCTATTAGGTCCGTCATCGATGGAACTAGGGTAAACCTAGAGCAAGCTGGTCTTCACCATCAATATTGGGCACACGCTGCCAGGCATGCGTGCATGGCAAACAACATCGTCGACACCCGGGAGGGTAGTTCGCCTTGGTCGCTTCGGTTCGGTGAGAAGTTCAAAGGCCCTTTGGTTCCCTTTGGGTTAAGGATTGATTACTGGATCGGCCCCAAGAACAAGGCCAAATCCTCTCTTAGGTTCGAGCCAACATCAAACCCTGGAATATTTTTGGGGTACGCCGTTCAGTCCAATTTTGTGTGGAGAAAAGAGTTCATGGTTCTCCCGTTGAAGGATGTCATGGAATCAGACTTCAGTGCAGAGATTCATCCATTGAGGGTCCATCAGATTGCCGTTCCCGACATCGGATTACACTTTCCATGTAAAGGTAGGTACAACACGATTAGAGAAGGTTTGTACCCTGGCATTACCATTTCGAGCAATCCGCCATCAATTGATGACGTCAAGGCTGCGAACATTGAAGAGCTTGTTGATCAGGAGGTTTTGAAACATGCTGTTGATCAAGAGTATGAACCGGATGAGCCACCCGAACTTCCCGATGTGCTTGTTGACGATGCGCCCATCGCTGCTCGCGGGTCGGGAGACCTTGCCGACGGTCCGGGGGGTGAAGAGGTTGAGATGATTGAGGTTCTTGATCCCGTCACGGGTGAAACGACTTTGATCCCCAAAAATGATTCATCTTACTATGATGCCGGAGGTTACAAAGCAAGGAAATATAAGGGTTCATCAAAACCCCCTGGCATTCCTCCGTTCCTATGGAAAGCCGCTTCCAAAGCGGAGAGGAAGAAGGCGATTGCAGAATATGAGCTCGAAGAGGCTCGAAAGCGCCTTCTTGCCGAAAAGAGCAAGCATAAAGCAGCCGTGGCAGAGATTGACGGCAAGTTGCGAAATTACAAGAGTGGAGACATCCCCACTGAGACGAAAATGGACGCCACCTGGGAAGGTGTGCCTTTGATGCCGGTTGAACATGA